GTCATGGCAGCAAAAAAGCTGATTAAAATGGTAGATTTAAAATGTTGTTTTGCTTCGCCCCTCGGAGCTGGAAATGCAACTCTTGGAATCTTTGGAGGCTACGGAGCTGGAGGCGGAGGCGGCTGGGGAGGTCCGAGCGATGTGACCGGGCCGCCATCGCTCGTCTCTTCCTCTCTCCTGCCGCCTCCTGTCTCCGAAATAACTTTTTTACTCTAAAGCAAGGGGAAAAAAAGTAGCCGTCCGCCCCTCACACCCTCCCTTCCTCTCAGCCCTCTGGTCTGTGAGGGAGCCCGGGGTGGCCGCTCCGCCGTCGGGGCCGAGCCCCGGCCGCCCCGGGCCGCCCCCGCCCGCCGCCCCCATGCATCCCTTTTACACCCGGGCTGCCACCATGATAGGCGAGATCGCCGCCGCGGTGTCCTTCATCTCCAAGTTCCTCCGCACCAAGGGGCTCACGAGCGAGCGACAGCTGCAGACCTTCAGCCAGAGCCTGCAAGAGCTGCTGGCAGGTGAGCGGGTCGCGGCTAGAGGGCGCGGGCACCCGGGGCGTCGGGGTACGTGGGCCTCACATCCCGTGTCGGACCGGGCAGTCCGCGCCCCTGTCCCGCGGTAGCACCTAGGTGGCCGCTAACGGCGGGTCCCGGCGAGGGTTTGGGGGCTGGAGTCGAGGGCGCCCCCTCACCTCGGCTTGCCAGCCAAGGGGGAGAAGAAACCAGACGCACAACAAAGAAACTAAAGCCAACGAGGCTGGAGTCGCGGTCCGAGGACCGTCGGTGGATTTGGGGACAAAGGAGCCGCGGGGCTGGGGTTGGTTCGACGTCCCCTCCCCCAAAGTCCTCCAACCGTTGCGGGGTCGGCGGCCCGGCCCCGGGGTGGGAAGTGGCGCCGCTGCCTGGAGCTAGCTCGGGACCGACGTGCCGTCTCTCCGCACCTCCTGCCCCTGCCCATTAATCATCGGATTTGTCACCGGCACAATTGCAGCCCTGCCCTGAGCGTGGTTTAGGGTTTCTTGTTTTTCCTCGCTTCGGGGTTAATAGTCCGGTGCGTTTCTCTTCTCCAAAGCCATAAACTCCATTGTGTGTGGCTGGGGTGGGGTGGAGAAAGTAAACAGGTTCCCGCCTGGCCGTGGTGTGGTCCAGCGGTCCAGCGGTCCGGCTCCCCGGCTGGCCAAGCTGCGCGCCTCTTCTTGTTTTGGCGGCTCAACCGGTTGGTTCCTGGAGCTTGTTTTGTCCCACACTGCTGTGTTATTTCTAAAACCCTGCCCGCTTTTTCTCCAGTGTCGCGCGCGCACAGCAGTGAACACAATCCTGCACATTTTTAGAAGTTGGTAGTTTTCATATTCGCTCTTCAAAGGAGCTTGAAGGAGGAAACTGAGAAGCTAACAGTACCGATCTAAGCATTGTTTCTCTGTTCTTTTCTTCTGTAGAACATTATAAACATCACTGGTTCCCTGAAAAGCCGTGCAAGGGATCAGGTTACCGTTGTATTCGCATCAACCATAAAATGGATCCTCTGATTGGACAGGCAGCACAGCGGATTGGACTGAGCAGTCAGGAGCTGTTCAGGCTTCTCCCAAGTGAACTCACACTCTGGGTTGACCCCTACGAAGTGTCCTACAGAATTGGAGAGGATGGCTCCATCTGTGTGCTGTATGAAGCCTCACCAGCAGGAGGTAGCACTCAAAACAGCACCAACGTGCAAATGGTAGACAGCAGAATCAGCTGTAAGGAGGAACTTCTCTTGGGCAGAACAAGCCCTTCCAAAAACTACAATATGATGACTGTATCGGGTTAAGATATAGTCTATGGATGGATCATCTTATAATGGATGGATAAATTTGATTTTTGCTTTGGGTGGGCTCCTCTTGGGGATGGATTATGGAATTTAAACCATGTCACAGCTGTGAAGATCTGGCACAAGATAGAGTGGTAAAAAAAAATTTTTAAGTGACAGTGCCATAGTTTGGACAGTACCTTTCAATGATTTAATAGCCTGTGAGTCCAAGTAAATGATCACTTTATTTGCTAGGGAGTGAAGTCCTAGGGTGGTTTCAGTTTCTCCCAGACATACCTAAATTTTAACATCAATCCCTTTAAGGAAAATCTGTATTTCAAAAAACCTTTCTCTGCAGTAGATCTTGCAGAGGAATTTGCACTATTACACTTGAAAATTGTTGTTGATAACCTTTTTTGGCAGCTCAGTAGGAAAGCTTGTTTTAAACATGGTAGTACTGGAAATTTTACAAGACTTTTACCTAGCACTTAAATATGTATAAATGTACATAAAGACAAACTAGTAAGCATGACCTGGGGAAATGGTCAGACCTTGTATTGTGTTTTTGGCTTTGGAAGTAGCAAGTGACCAGAATCTGCCATGGCAACAGGCTTTTAAAAAAGACCCTTAAAAAAGACACTGTCTCAACTGTGGTGTTAACACCAGCCAGCTCTCTGTACATTTGCTAGCTTGTAGTTTTCTAAGACTGAGTAAACTTCTTATTTTTAGAAAGTGGAGGTCTGGTTTGTAACTTTCCTTGTACTTAATTGGGTAAAAGTCTTTTCCACAAACCACCATCTATTTTGTGAACTTTGTTAGTCATCTTTTATTTGGTAAATTATGAACTGGTGTAAATTTGTACAGTTCATGTATATTGATTGTGGCAAAGTTGTACAGATTTCTATATTTTGGATGAGAAATTTTTCTTCTCTCTATAATAAATTGTTTCTTATCTTGGCATTTAAAAAATAAAATAAAATAAAATGTTGTTTTACCCAAATAAAACCTGGAATTTTTTGTTAAATGTAGTGAAAT